AGGCCTTAACGAGAATAGTTTATTGTAAAAGTTTCAAATCTTTTTGTTGTTCCTATTCTAAAATACAATTATAATAAGCGCTTGTCTTTTATTTTGCTCATAGACATCGACAGATTCGATGTTCGTACTTCAGGATAACAGCAAATCAAAAGATTTGAAACTTTCACAATGAACTACTCTTATTAAAACCTGTCTTCATACAAATTTCAAGTTGAAATACGAAACTCAATTTTCCTAATGTGGATTACGACATTCATTTAAAAAGTGCACATAAAATGTAGTATCTCCACAGTGCTAAGGGCACGAACTCTTTCCTAGAGATTCATAACGTACAAACCTATAATTAAACTTATAAACAATGCCAACAGCATCCTTCAAATAAATACATACTCAACAACACTATAATAACAGACGTGTACACTATGATTTTTCCCTTTTTATTAGTCTCTTTATGTCAATGGTGACCACTCGATATTTCGCAACTCGCTCTAACATTAGGTTTTTAATAATTTCAATTCAGTTGTAATGACTAAAAACGTATGCGTTTAAATTTATACTCTCTCAACCTTTAATTCTCTATGTCAATTCATTCTGAAGATCATACAAAAAAATTCATCATTTAATCATATTCGATTAAGTTTTTTTCTTTTAGGGTTCTATTCTTTCTATTTACAAAATACAATAAATTTTAATAAATAGAATAATATTTAACTTTTAAAAAATATCAAAATTCTTGAAAAAAAGAATTCACATACTCCTTTACAAATATTCACAGATTCGAATGACATTGATTTTGGATAAGATACATTACGATCTTTAATAGTTGTAAAAAGTTCTTCTTCATCTTCACCATCAAATGGTGGTTGACCAGCAAGCATTTCAAAAAGTAAAACACCATATGCCCACCAATCAACACTTTTACCATATTTTTGATTTAAAATAATCTATAAATGATAATAGGAAAAAGAAAAACTTCTATTTTACTAATTTTATCATAGAAAATTTTCAAGATTAACCTCTGGAGCAATATAATCTAAAAGAATAAAAGAAATAAAAATACTTTGAAACAACGAAAATTATATTATTTACCTGGTGTTCCACAAAATGTTGATGTTTTAACATCATTTATTATTCCTTCTTTACACATTCCAAAACTAGAAGAATATCATAAAAATAAATTCTTATCATAGGTTTTTTATTTCTTACTCAGCTATTTTAATATGTCCTTCTCTATCCAATAGAACATTATCCAGTTTTAGATCTCTAAAAAAAATCAATATCAAATAAATTTATATCTATTAATTAATCATAAGTCATACCTATAAATAACTCCCTTGTTGTGCAGATAAAAGAGGCCAACTGCAATTTCAGCCGAATAAAAACTAAACAAAGAAAACAATTTCATTGATCGTTTCTGTTTAGAGAATAGTTAAAATTGAGAAAATACTTTCGTATCTCTCAGTTTTTTCTTAATCCTGACACGACTACCTTGAGTAGGAAGCTGTGGATCCACGTTTCTATGGACCCAGATCCGACTGAGTCCAAACTCGCGGTTTTTCCCATCAATACGCGCTACCCTTCGTGTACATGAATAAGTAGAGGATCAAGATTTTAATGATTTATTCGCCAGTCTCTGAAAAAAAAGCTCAACGTACAGTTATATCTTGTCTGGAAGGATCCGCAGCTCCCTAACCTTGAGTCCATGCAGATTCCAGCCTATTTTATCACACCGTTATGAAAGATGAAACCACTCGTCTTCCGGATATGCTCTGGTGAAGTTCAATAGAGTATGTTCAAGTATTATTTATGTAAGTAGATCATCCCGAACCACATATGAACGCTTGCGGATCACCTGAGGTTCGTTCGGACTCTAATGTGATTGATTGTTATATTAATCTACGTGTTGAAAATATTTGCACAATATGTATGATCAAGTTTTGTTTATTTGTAAGTTACTGAAGAGAATCAAAAATAAGCAGCTGGTATTAGGATTTCATACTCTTTCTAACAATATATTGAGAAAAAAATCTGTGATAGCGGTTAAAACCAATGTTTATATAAAATACTAATTTAAAAGGCATTAATAAATATATTTGCTCATTTTTCAGATATCTAGATGTCATTGATGGAGCTCAAAAAACAGTCAGTTAGAGTCAGATTCTGGTGTGCTCATGCTAAATGTATGCTCAAAATATAGTTCAAACTAACTGCTTTTCTGTTGTTTTTTTTTGATATTAAGTCTTCATATGTCTATAAAAAGCTGATAACAACTTCATATATTATATTTATTGTATCAATTGAGGTTCGCATGAACTTTAAGGTGAACAACAACTGATTGTCCTAAAATTGATCATGATATGGTTAGTTTAGATGTTTTTTTTTCTTATCATATTCGAAAGTTACTCATCTACATTGAATAGTTGTTTTTATTATATAGAAAATAAGTGAAAATTCAACATAATTTATGACATTATATTCGAAACAGAAAATAGAACAAGCTTATTATATTCTATTGTCAACTTATTGAAACTAAAAGAAATAAACCAGAAATATCATTTCCAGGTTTTGTTTTTTCTTATTCAATCATCTTTGTTTTGTTATTTATGAAAATTCTATCTAATCTTATTATTCGATAAACATCTGTTAATCTACGTATATTTGTTTTTTTTTGTTTTTCTATTCTTTCAATCGAATTATTTCAACAAAATGTCAACCATTCGACACACACACATAAAGGAAAACTATTATTAGAAGTTAATCTTATGATTATATTAATAAATGCTAAGCTATATTAACAAATAATAAATAGAATATCTGTTTGATATTATCGAGTTTGTTTATATCATACATTCAAAATCCTATAAACTTTATAATAAGACAAAAGGAACAATAAATCTATTTTTAGTCAAAAACAATTATAATTATATTTACCAAGCAACTGGTTCTTTGAATTTTCCTTCATGTTGTATTCGATACATAAGATCACCACCATTAGCAAATTCCATAACAAAAAATAATCGATCCTAATTAAAAAAAAGAAAACGAATTTTTTTTTTTTGCTTTTCTATTCTTTAATATTTACTTCTGTTTGAAAACAAGAATGAAGTTGTACAAGAAATCTTGGTTTATCTTGTAATAATAATACACGTTTTTCAATCATAACACATTCAACATCATCATCTTGTACAACAATATCTTTTTTTAATATTTTTATTGCATATAATTCTTCGGGTACTCCTTTACGTTCAGCTAAAACAACCTTTAAGAAATATAAAGAGACAAATTTAGTTATTCATTAAAATACAAATTAATTTTCTTTTCTTTTAAACTTACTTTACCAAATGATCCTTTGCCAAGTACTTTAATAAAATGAAAATCTGTTTCTTTAATAGATTCTATATGAGATATTGGACGTCCTGATGATTTTCCGCAAGCATCTATTCCTAAATCATCTGATGGTATACGTGATGGATGTTCGGATTTTTGTCTCTAAATGAATAACTTTCTTTTTGTATTTAGAAATAAAAAAAGAATAATTAAACATACTCCAATAGAATGTCGCATTTTACTTATACCATCTTCACTAGGTACAGGTACTGCATAAAAATCTCCTTCTTCTTGACTTAATAATTTAAACCAACCTTGAACTGATTCTTTCAATAATTCCGAAACACCTTTTTAAAATAAAAAAAAATATAGTGCCGAATATAATAGTTAGCCAGAATCTGAAAAAAATATTTTTTGTATAGTTGAAAAACTTCATTGGTAGACTCCAAGAAAACTACTTGAATAAAGATCTGCAAGAAGCCAAGTCAAAAATCTCGAAATTATCCAGTTTACATAAAATCTGCTAGTGAATAGAAGAATCAGTTTATCTCTCATATATATATCTAGAATAAATTTGTCCATTTGCTTTTTCGTATTCTTCTTAGTTGATACCATCGAGAAGAAAATTTAACAATACAAACTTTTGTCCATCACTATACAAAAAAAAACAAACAAAATTTTACCGAATGAAAGTGAACCCATAAAATCATTTCTCGATGTTCGATCCCAATCCCAAACAGCAATTAATAATCGTTTATCTTTATCATCATCATTTAAATCACTATTTAATGAAAATTAAAGAAACAAAAAAACAAATTATTTAGTTGTCTTTTTTTGTTTTTTGGTTTAAACTTACATTGTAAATTTTTCAAGCCATTGTGGATTTAATGTAGCACGTACTGTTTTTGTTTTATATTTACTTTGTAATTGTTTTTTTGTTACATCTGGTGTTGTTGGAATTAATTTTATTTTAACATATGGATCACTTAAACCATTTGGATCCATTGGAATTAAATTTCTAGCTTCAATTATTTCAATAACTAATTTATTTTCATGTTCATATTTAACATTTAAACGTATTCGACCACGACGTTCTGTATGATCAAGTCCACATAAATCTGGTACCAATTTTCGACATTTTTCATGAACATTCATATCACAGCATTGACATTTAAGACCTTGATGTATGAGACCATATAAAAGAGATCCACAATGATCACAGAATGTTGGTGAAGTATATGTATGTGTTTGAAATTTATGATTATTTCTTGGTGCCTAATTTATAAAAAACAAAAAATAAAGATTTATTTATAAAATAATAATATTCAAATTCTTACATCAGAATCAGCTCCTTTATCAACACCAGGACAAGTAAAACAAATAAATTCATGACAACGCTTATGAACAACAAGAGAACAAACTAAAAGAATAAATAAATTTAACCAATTTCACTCATTTCTATCATTGAAACAATACAATATTCAGAATAAGGAAAAAGAATGAAGAATATCTCTGTCTTGCAGGATAGGATGCTGTCTAGCAGTAGATTCAATACCTCGATATCTTCCTTATAATTAACACTAGCTATAGTTCTGGATACAAGGTCGAGTTGACACAAAGTTGTTGCGCTCAACTTCTTGAACTTCTCATACGTACTAAATAGGTGTATGTCACAACACAGTCATCATTCTATCAGACGAGTGATACGAGACAAATAGCCGTTAGTGACTTGCTCAGAATCATTTCATGTCAGGTTGTACCGAGATTTGAGTATAGTACCTTGTGAATATGTATCGATCAATGTAATCGCTATGGCGGCCAATAAAAAGATTTACACTTTTTTTTGAAAATTTAACTTCTTTTGAAACTAACTCATCGAAAGATCTTTTTCCTATTTAGAACAATGACTCGAAGAGTGATAATATTAATTGACATAATAAAATATAGTATATTTCAAAAATCAGACGAACAATAAAACTACCATAACATTTGAATAATTCACATCAGCTTTTTATTATTTCGTATAATTCCATCCATAACTATTGTTTCCAAATGATCTGCATTTACTATAAAGCATGAAACCGTACGTTTTGACATATTCACAAAAAACTAGCACATAAGAGTTGTTACGGGATTGCCGTGATCATATCATCGATTCTTATTTATATATCAACAGAGTATTTTGCACTGGAACTTATATAAAATCCCTTGTGCATAATTAAATATAAATCGATGATACAATTGCAATGACCTTGTCGCAGTCCTTGTGGATCAGTTTTCTGTAAATATTTCGAAACATGATTTCATGCTTTTGTATTGATGCCAATCTACGAGTGAAATCATATGAAATAATGAAAAGCTCATGTGAATTGTTGAAGAATTATTGTAATTTTATTTCATGACTGACGTTTGTAACACTCGGAATATCAGTCATAGGAAAAGAGAGAGATTGTCTCGTACAATGTAAACTTTTGATTTGTACTATAATATTACGCATTTAACTGAAATTCGAATATTGATTTGAATAGCCAATGAAGTTCTCTATCAAATGCATCCCATACTGGGATTTCATATAGATGTATTATGAGAGGAAGGTTTCCGGAAAATCGAACATGATAGTTTTCAGATTCTAGAATACTCGACAAGAGTATAAAATTCTGAGTAAAATGATGGGTTGCCGCATTTCCTATGATCTTCCCTTAAAAAGTTAAAAGCATCACAAAACAAAATTGATCATAAAATTGCTGAAAACAATGCATTTTTTTGTGTAATGCTTATTAACTTTTTAAGGGAAGGTCGTAGGAAATACGACAACCTCTTATTTTATTCAGAATTTCGTCCTCTTACAGAATACTATATTCAGTTTTCCCAAAAACCTTCCTCTCATAGTCCATTTATGAAATTTCTGTATACTAATAGAGAACTTCATTGACTATTCAAATTACTAATTGAATTTGAGTTAAGTGCTTAGTATCATTGAAAAAAAGAAGTCAAAAACTCGTTGATCTTAGATTTTTGACCCATACTGTAACCTTCATCACATTCTCGTGGTATAACTGTTAAAATATCATTTTAGTTCATACTAATCTCTAATGACTAACACATATCCGACTCATGAAGTTTAAAATGATCAGTCAACCACACTGATGTATACTGCGGTCCTATCGTACTTTACAAAAAAATGGGTTTTTTCACCTTTCACAACCTATTATTTAATAAATAATTATTAATTAGCATGCCTCATAAACTGTAGAAGTATGATTTTTAATCTTTCCATATAATTATCATCAAATAATTAAGTATTCAGACTTAAAGTGTAAATTTGACATTGTGATATTTAATGTTCTATCAAATAAGACATAACATCAAAGTAAAACTTTAACTTGACTTTCTTTATTGTTGTTTTCTTTTTTTGTCAATAAAGAATAATCATTTTAATGTTCTACAATATTAATAAATCTTATACTTCTTTACTTTATTGTATTCATAATTCTGATAAGATCAATTATCTATTATAGAAATCTCAATCGTTTTCATATCAATTTTTTTTTTGTATCATATAAATCCTAATGTGTGTCAGAAATTGAACAGCTTTTGTTTTTGCTTCCATTTATAGAAATATTCTTTGTCTGACTTAAGTCAATAAAGGATTCACATAAAATAAGATGTGATGAATTTCTCGTCAAAACAAAAAAATATAGTTCACTAAGGTTCATGGGACATTGTGCTCTTTTAACTTATTTATAGAAAAATATGATTTACTTTGACATTGAAAACCCTGTTTGCCAAAGCCCCTACAATAAAAAAAGAAACAGGATATAAAGAAAAGCAAAAAAAAGATAAAATAGTTACCAAATAAAATCTCGACAATGAGAACAAAATGTTGGTGTTTTAAAAAATCTTGGAATAAATTGATGATTTTTAACTGTATAAACATTTTTTTGTCTTAAAGCACCACGTCGTGCAATAGCTTGTGGTTTTTCAATAAATCCTCCTGTTGGACTTGATGGTCTTCTTGTTGAACTATTATGTGTTGAATTAGTGTGTATAGATTTTGTTGTTGCCATTTCTTCTTCTGTTAATGAAAATATTTCACTAGTTGTATTGACTTCACGAAAGAGACCTATTGCTTGGACGAAAGCAGCACAAGTTGGTGCTATATAAACAAAAATAAAGAAGAAAAGCAATATATTACTATTGAGAAATCGCTATGCAAGAAAAAAAAAAAAAAGACCAAGCAATAATAATAATAATAATAATAATAATAGCGAATCAAGAATATAACCGTTATCCGTCTTTTTTTTCTTCTTTCCTAACGCGTTTTTTTTTTCACTATAGATATTGTGTTATTGATGTTTGATATGACATCATCAAAGACCTTACAATAACGGTGAAGGTTTTCTCTATTCTTAGTTTGTCATATATATGCATGTACATCAATCTTGTCTTAATGAATCAATATGTTGTATAACAAGAAACATAATTGATTTCGTTTTTTTTTTTGATTGTTAAGTGATAATAAGCTATAGACTCGAGGGCATAGCGACGATAATTCTTATTCTCATTTTAGTTTATTAATATTAATGAAGTTAACAAAAAAAAGGATATTGATAATAGGTAAACCTTTTTTCTTTTTAACACACTATGATTTATAATAGATGAAGATATAACAAAAAAAGAAAAACAAGAGAAAGTTCTTTACTTTTTTGAAAAAATTTCACTTATTGAATAGTAACAATCTTAAATTCCTTTTTGCTTTTTAAACGTCAAAAGTACAAGTAAAAATCGTGATCTAGTTATAATTTTTAATACCTTTAATTTTAGAAAAACAAAAAAAGGAAATATGAAATATAATTCAGCACGTATTTATCATATATGTGTTGACAGAAGCCTAATAAAACTTTCTTCATATATCATCGATCATTGTTTTCCTATGCACCATGACAAATGTGAAAACGCATATACAAAGAAAAATTTCTAAGACAGTTTTTCATAAACTATAAAATAGACAAAAGATATAATTTTCATTGATCCTATACAAATGATATTCTAAATAGAGAATTCGAATACAAGAATAAAGCATACAGATTCCACGATATGTCTTTCTTTCTTTCTTATTCTTTAAGTGGAAGAGTCAATTGTATGTTGAACCATCAATATTAAAAAAGAAATTTATTAATATCTCAACATGACAGCAACAATGAAGTATATTTTTCCAACAAATAGTCTCTTGTATTATGATCATGACATATTTTCTTATGAATAAACGTCAAGAATAATAATAATAATAATAATAATACCTGTACGTGCCATGCCTTCAACAATTGAACGTCTTTGTTGTTGATGAACTGGTTTTTGTTGTTCTTGTTTAGGTCTATTGGGATCCATTATTTAAGAACAAAAAAGTGGATAAAAGAAAAAAAAAACTAATTGATAACACGCATTAAATATAACTAGTTGCCATCAATCTATATTTTCGGCTTAAGTTTTCTTTTTTTTTTTTTCTCTTCGTTGTCGTTTGCTCGTCCCTCGTGCGTTTCAATTATGACATCAATAAATAATGGAACGAGTCGTCGACACACATACAACATACATAGGAACTAAATATAATATAACAGTAGTAGTAACAAACTTTTTTTCTTTGCCGTTTGTCGTTCGATGAAAATATAGAGATAAATAAACTGAATGCGACAAAAGGCAACGACGATAGTGATGAGAATGATAGTCCGTTAGAGGCGCCGATCGATAATCGTCGTCAGATGTTTCATCTTCTAGAATTTCATCTTTCGACAAACAGAAAATATTGAACGCCAAGAGATTGTTACAAGAGAACAACAATGCAAATCATTTTCTTTTTCTTCTTTTTGTTCGATGGATAATAGATGATCATTGATGATAGTACATATTTTTAACAATGTTCATATAATAAAATTTTATTGGATTTTTTTTTCTTTCCGACTTTACTCTTTCTTTTTTTGTTTTGTTCTCTCGAAGATTTATTTGGCAATCAAATGCCATCATCATCATCAAATACGTGTATTCTATAGAATAAGATAATAAAAATTTTCTTTTTCCTTGACCGATGCCCACTTAATAAAAACAAAAAAAAAAGACCTATCGTCATTCACCGTACATAAATAATCATCTCTAGTTTCTATTTATATATATTCATATTCAACACAAAGACAAATTATTATACAAAATGGGGTAAAACTAAAGAACAACTACATATCCCTAGGGTATTTTTCCACATGCAAAAATTATTCTCCTTCATTCCAATGTTCATATCAATGTTTACTTGATATTTTCATTAGCAATATTTTCTATTGAAAAAGAAAATATTATTAACTCATTGATAAATCATCTGTAGTTGACAGCTGGAAAAGCTCAGTCTTTATATATACATCTATATCAATATATATATATAATATATCTTCATTATTTGACCATATTATTAATTGACTTCTACATCCGTTCAAATCCCTCGAAGAATTTCGACAGTAACAATTAGAGGCGGAGAATTCACTTTGAGATAAGCATGCATCTAATAATTATTTTGATTAGAAAGATAAAAGGAAATAAGTTAACGCTATTTCAGTACAAACAAAATGTGAATAACTTGCACATAATAAAAATCTCAATCGTATACAATGATGATTTCTAATATTGTTATTGTTATAAATATCTTTCAATGTCTAATAATTCAGAAGAATAAGAAACAATAAGAAATGTCTATTATGAAACAAACATATGGTGCATTACAATTTGATTAGGCGAAAACAAAAAGATAAATTTGTCAACATTAGACGACTTACTTAAAGATTACTGTTTTATGTTGGAATTATCTATTATTCTAACTCGATTATATACAAAATAGAGTATCATTAAAAAACAATATACGTATGTACTTTTTTTTCTTCTTTTGATGTATGCGTGTGTGTGTGTGTGTGACTATAACTTCTTCCAAGGATTGACTTTTTATTCCATTGATTCAAATAATGTCACAATTTTTTTTTTGTTTTTTTTCGTTTTAATATATCATCTTTTTTTCCTTCATATCGCATGAAAGAATGTCAGAAAATGGCAAGACATGCGTATGACATTTATCTATTGAACAATAAGGTTCATTAGAACTTATGATTACATTACACTTCGATAGATATGTCACTGTTGAATTAGACTGATCAAATCTGGTAGTTATTATTATTACAATGAAAAATAAAAAAAAAAGAGAACAATCAAAACATCATGGCATGCGCTGCATGCATTCATCGATTTGTTCTGTTCTTCTGGCATTTATCTAATCCAGTTACTGCGGAACTGTCTGTCTCTTGGGATGACGACTAGAAACAGAAAGAGAGAGAGAGAGAGAAAAAAGAAGAAAAGTTGGTTATTACTATTACTGTTGTTGTTCTTATTACTCTTATCTTTCCAATAAGTCGAGAGTCATTAGCCATTCTCTTTCGTCGCTTATAAAACTTAACATACATGATATTGGAAACGTCAACAACATACCGACACATTTTTAGTAGACCACAAAAAAACATATAGTGACATTTTAACAATGACAAATACTCTTTTATGGACAGATCAATAAGTTTTCTGTTTGAATGAATAGAATTATAAGAGTCTATTTATATTATATTAAAATTAAACTAAATAATAATGATAATTTCTTATTGCAATTAGATATAAATAATCGAAAAATCTTAATTTACAAAAAATAATTGATCTTATAACTTACATGATAGTAATTGATTAATAATCAAAAGCAATCATAACGAAATATAAATGAATTTTGATATTTATAATAATTAGAAATCTGAAAATAAATACAAAAAAACAAAATTCTTTTGAAAATTCAAGAAAATATCATTCGAAGAAAAAATATTAGTAAATGGAAAAAAATGATAAAAGCTTTAACGAGAACCATTAAAACGCTTCTGTGATTTTTGGGCTCATCGTCTTAGTCTTGGTCGACAACTTTATCCTATCAACTAAATTCATTATATAGATTGAATGAATGAATGAAGAAGACAGAAAAAGAAAATGAAAACAACATCCCACACTGTTACATTCTATTAAGTTATTACTTTCCTTTCTTTTTTTTTCTTTCTGGCTTTATTCAAGATGAATATTAGTACAACGAATAATATTTCTAATAAAATATAATAGAGAAAAAAAAGAAAGAAATATCTATCAATCCATAAAAATATCGGCAACTTAACCTACTATTCGTTCTTATTAAATTGTATATCATACTGTATAATTTGATGGAAACATCAAGTATGCACTAATTCTCGAGAAATTTTTATTGCTTTTTCTATTCCCTATCAATACAAGAATATATAACGAGCTAACTTATTAGTAAAACATGGCGACAAAAAGAAAAAAGTCGTCATCAACCATCAATGTTCTTATAACACAAGTAAAGATCACGCGATCATTGATTACCAATTCTCATTTTCACCCAGTCGTTGTTCTCTATCTATTGTTGTCGTTATTAAGAATCAATAATGTATTGTTATATTATCTTATTGTGTTCGTCTATTCAAAATCAACTAAAAGTTTCTTTTCTTTTCTTTTTCATTAACAAAAGCAATTCTTATTAAAAAAATATATTCTCTTCCATAACTTACCAATACTATGTTTTATTTCGTAAAAAAAATTATTTGCTCTAAATATGCACTATCATAGTTGGTGACTCTTACATAGAATAACAATAATGGAAAGCAAGAGAGTCTGACACTTGCTTGCTTTTTCTCTTTATACTATGTTTGTCGATAGTGTTCTCACTCTCTCTCTCCTGCCAAATATATTCAGTATGTCAATATAGACAAAAAAAAGAGAAACTGTTAAGGTAAAGTAGTGACGCAGAATGCCAACACATTATACAATATGATATACTTCTCTATTCCATTTTTTTTTTTTCTCAAGGCAAAATATGATTCATAATCGTTTTATAAAAACAAAGAAAAAAAAAAAGCAAATACCACATTATTGTGTAATATTATATATTTTTATATAAAAAAAATTAACGATGAAATTTTCAAGTTAGCAATAGATTGATTTCTCTATCTATATATATATATGTACACAATTAATTGTGGATGTCATCTTATTCCTATAGACATACTTGTTTAAGTAGATCAAATTAGTTACAATAATAATGGTTCATTGGCCAACAAGAAGAATAATTATCAATCTGTTCATCATTGAGAGTTATTTGCAAAAAAAAAGAAAGAAATTATCACATTTTACTGGGCGAGTAGTTCTTGACATTATTTAAATGATAAATTATAATGAATATTATATTGTATAATTATTTAAACTTTAATTCATTTATATTTTGAAAGAAATAATAAAGAAAAAAACATTTCAGTGTCATAAATAACATATAATTTATTCTTAAAGTCTTTCATTAAAAACTAAATGATGTTTGTTTTCCTACTAGTTTTTGTAAGGTCATTACCTTCCTGTGAACATTTATTTTTTTTACAAAATATTTAATAAAAAAAAAAAACGAATAAAGTAATAGAAATATTACATCTCTCTGAACTTTTCATGTATTTTTTTTTTCAAGTACTATGTTTTTATTATGACGAATATATAGGTCAATAAGTTTGCTTTTTCTATGACATTGAAGATGTATTGTCGACTATTGCTTTGTTGATATTTAGCGAAGCTCATTTATTTTAGTTTATTGATATTATCAATAGACTTCTTATGGAAATCATTATTTCACGTTTGACAATATTAAATGATCTGATGGCTTTGTTTCGATATTGTTATATGTATATAGAAATAGTTTTTTTACAAAAAAAAAAAGAGATTAATATACATCTAAAATAAGAAAGATCATACTTTCATACGTTTATTTCGTTGGCTGATTGTCGAAAAATTATCACTAAGAAAAATATCAAGTCTAAAATTGTTTCATAGCACTTAAGAATCCATTAGAAAAATTGTCACTCTTATGTGTGTGTGTAAGTCATGATTTTCCTTTTTTGTAGGCGGTTGTTGTAGGTTAATGTCTAATGTCGAATTAAATATAGGGATTCTTCGAATCCTATATTGAATGCATTCAAAGTCAATTTTCCTACTATAATCCATGTAAGAATAGTTATTGATGAGTTCGAAAAGATATGATAATAGTTTTTTTTTTTTTTTCATATTATATAGCAGATTGATGAATGAAAGTTAGATGAGCATAGAATTTTCCTTCCGCAATACAAATCGGTTTTTTTTTTAATTTAACTATGATATATGAATCGGTTATTATAAGAGACGATATCATTTCTATATTCTAGTTAATCAATAAAAATTCTCATTTCAATATTGAATCCAATCAAGCTTAACTTTTTTGTCTATAACATTATGATCTAATT